AGTCGAATGCGAAGCAGCACTTGATCCACAGCGATGTGGCCGGACCACTCAAGGTACCTACACGAGCAGGACGACGCTACGTTGTCACCTTTATCGATGATTTCTCTCGCTTCGTGTACGTCAACTTCATGAGGAAGAAGAGTGAAATGCTGGAGCACTTTAAAACTATCAAGGTGGAGGTCGAGAAGCAGCAGTCGGGTTATATCCGTATACTGAGGACTGACACGGAGGTGAATACTGCAGCAATGCGTTCGCTTGGTTTCTTCGTCATGTAGGGATTGTGCACCAGAAGAGTGTTCCATATTCGCCACAACAGAACAGTCTTGCAGAACGCATGAACCGCAGATTGATGGAGAAGACAAGAGCGACGCTTCACTACAATGCGGTGGAGTCTAGGTGGTGGGCTGAAGCCATCAACTGTGCTGCCTACTTGATGAACAGACTTCCAGCTGCTGCACACAAGATGACACCACATGAGCGTTGGACAGGAGAGAGACCCGACCTGGGCCATCTGAGAGGATTTGGCTCGAAAGGGTTTGCTCAAACCCCGAAGGAGAGGCGCTCTAAGCTTGACGCGAATGGTTTCCGGTGCGTGTTCGTGGGGTACTCGACAATTTGAAGGCATATCGAGTGGTCGACCGCGACCGGAGTTATGATCGGCGGATTATCTCTCGCTTAATTGCTCTCGATGAGCGCATGGCGCCGCTTTATCGCGATGTAGTCGACGCCGATGTGCCACGACCCCGTATGCAGCATGACAATACGTCGGATAATGAGAATGACACCTCTCCTGTCGTACACCCCACCGCCAATCAAGATATTGACATGAAAAGCATTGCCGATAAACAGGACGACCATGACTTGTAAAACGTCGAAGTCCAAGAAACAGTCGTTGGTGAGATCCCGATGATCGGTACTCACCTTGCCTCACAGAGCACGCTGACATTTACCCACGAAACCAATGATTTAGTATTGCGTACTTCTGGACGAGATATCGTACCGCACGGCCATGATGAGACCGCAATGGTACCAGTCCGGACTCGTCATCATCATCACCCTTGGGTGCTCCCGAATGTACCATTACCCACACCAGAAGAAATTGATGACGATGTTGACCAACGGATTGTACCTGCTCCCCGACTCAAACGTCCACGCCGAGATAGCGATCTGCTCAAGTGCGCCCTGAATGCTCAAGGGAGAGATGATGTTGTGATCCCTCAGCAATACGATGAAGCACCTTAATCGCCAGAGGCCAATGAGTGGAAGATGGCCATGGAGGCGGGGTTCACGGCGCATAGAACAAATGCGACGTGGAATATTACGCGACCACCGGCAAATGCTAACATCATCGGATCCAATTGGGTATTCAGTCTCAAACGTGACGAGACTGAAATCATCGTTCGTTTCAAGGCAAGGCTTGTGGAGAAAGGCTACGCGCAGGAACCAGGTGGCGACTACAACTTTACGTATGCACCAGTTGTTAACGATGCGTCACTGAGAATCTTTGCATCACGGGCCAATGAACTTGACTACAAGATCGAACAATGTGACATAGATACCGCTTTCCTCTATGGCGAGGTGAAAGAGCGTGTGTTCATGGCGATCCCTCAAGGCCTTGAAGTCGATGACCCCGATGCAGTTGTTTTTCAGCATCGACAAATCGCTCTACGGTTTTAAAGAGTCGGCTGATGTGTGGCACAATCGAATCCGCCAAGCATTTATCAAGAGGAACTTTGCTCCACTTCAACCCGAGCCATGTATCTTCGTGCGTTCTGTCAACAACGACGTCTTTATTTACGTCACTTTATACGTTGACGATATGTTGATCGCAGCACCGACGAAGCAACTCGCTCAAGACGTCATCTCGAGTCTCGAGGAATTACGTCTGGGGCGATTGGGCGCAGCACGCCTCGTGGTGGGGATGGAAATCTGTCGAGATCGTTCGCGCAAAATCATGCATATTTGCTAGTAACGATACATCGAAGATATCGTCGAAAAATTTGGCCAAATTCACGCTAAGGTGAACGTGAACTCCTGTAAGATTGCAACTAAACTTCGTCGAGGAGGTGAAGGAGAAGGTATCGACACGACGGTGTACCAATATCGATCCCTTATAGGAAGTCTGCTGTTCGTCAGCATGGGTACACGACGGGACATCGTCTGCATTGTTGGCAAGCTAAGCAAGTACTGTGAGAGCTCGACGATGTAGCACTGGAAGGCTGGCATTAAGGTTGCTCGTTGTTTGAAGGCTACACCAAGCCACGGCCTTCGTTTTGACTGAAATGCACCGCTGCGCAGCTATTCCGACTCGGACTGGGTCTCAGATGTTCAACGACCGCAGGTCGATATCAGGAATCATGGTGATTTACAATGGAGCTCCAATTATCTTCAAATAAAAGGAGCAGAACAGCGTCGCACTGAGTACTGCCGAAGCCGAGTATGTCGCACTCTCACTATGCACTCAGGAGACAGTCTGGGCACGCACGTTACTACAAGAGATGGGAGCTATTCACAACGAGGCGACCACCATTTTCGTTGACAACTAGGCGGCTATAAGTATGTACAAACAGGTTGGCTACAACCAATGATACAAACACATCGACTTAAGATTCCACTACGTACGCGAGAAGGTCGAAAAAGGCATCGTCAACCCGACCTACATTCCGACATCACAACAGCTGACAAATTACCTGACTAAACTGCTCGCCTCGTCGATGTTTCGGATCCTGGTGAGCAAGAACGGTATCCACTCTACGCCTCAGGGGGAGTGTTGATTTCAGGCGTGGAGTTGCGGGTGAGGGACCCTGTGCAT